TGAAACTGTCGGGCTAGCTGACCCACTGTACGTACAGGTGGGCTGGCCCATGCTGCAAAATGCTGCCTCGCCCTGAGAAGCAGTTCCAGGTCGCACCCAATCCGAAGACCATCAACAGGGAAATGAACCCCAATCAAACCCCTATCAAGCCCCTTGACCTGAAACTGATTCAGCAAAGCAGATCCCAGCGAGCGTTTCCAAACAGACCGAAGCAAACTGAGCTGTACGGCAAAGGTCATGTTGGGAGGCAAAGGTAAGGACTGTCTCTCCTTCCAAACCCCAGTGACACTACAACGGGAAGGGAAATGAACCCTACCAGAAACCAAAAGCATAACAAGAAGCTCAACCCACGAAACATCAGTGCACTGAGAGGATGACATGTCCTGATCAACCAAAAACTGACAGGCCTGCTGTACAAAACTACGTGGCAATTCGGAACAACTGCAACTGGCCTGCACAAACCAATTCAATGGGACCTCCTCGTGCAGTCGATGATCTGTGACGCAAAAAGCAAGATCTTCCGAATCCTCTTCCAGCGTGTATTCAACCGCAGGCATCCCACGTTTGTGGGCGGTTCGCTCGGCGATTCCGAAGTAGATCGCCCGTAATGCGCGCATCTCCTCGGTCACCCTCTGGTGATAGGCCAAAGCTTTTGCATGAACATCAACAAGGTCAAAGGAACGGTTTTGATTTGTCTGTCCGGCCAGAACGTCAACCTTGTTATTCCAGCATGCAAGCCAATCTTCAAGCGGGGCCTCACATGCCACCTCCAAAAGGTGACTTGGGACATGTTGGATGTCCAGTGAGTCTGCGGTGTAACAGCTGACCAGATCTGCAATTTGTTTCCACAAGTCGGTGTTCAGCTTAGGCATCCATGTAGCGTCCTCCAGCAGTCTACGAATGCCCTCGGCTCCCTTCAACGAGTCAGTCCAAATTACGATGGAAACCCGAACCTTTAGACCCCATTTTAATGCGGAGATAAGAGCCCACAACTCAGCTCGGGGAGAGCTCTGCAGCAAACCTGGCACGGGGCCCGAACTTAGTGTACACCCTGTGGTGGCATTAAGAACTCCCCAGGCGGCCAGCGCAAACTCTTCGGGTGTTTGCATCATGCATGAACCGTCCGTAAAAAGATGCTGCTTGCCAAGATCAACTCTCGTGGAGAAAAAGGAACCTGACAGATCGGGAAGGTCATTCAGCAACCTGCGAAACTGAACGAGATGCGGATTAGCAGGCGGCAACAAATGATGTGTGAGGCATGGAGGCAAGTGTGGCCAACGCTGGCAAATCCAAAGGCGCGGGGCTCGAATGTCCCCGTAATCAGGACATTCGCAAACTCGATGTTGCCTTGTGTCAGGAACTGCGCACCTTGGGCAAAGGCCTGTTTTGGTGCAATCATACTTCGCGTGCTCTGCATCAAAGAGGAAAGCTCCAGAACGGAGCGCAGACAGCCGGGCATTATCGAGAGCTGTAAGACCGCCCACGTCTTGTCTCAACAAACTGGGATCAATGGCACACATGCCGGCCATGGGCGGGCGGTGTGCATGTGACAGAGCAACATGCCTCAGCCAAGCTGCATCAAGTCTACGACGCAACAACCCCTGTGGCTCCGAAAGGAGATCAAAACACAAGCCCTCATGATCGACGACCACGGGGGGCCGAGCAATTGACCAGCCAATTTGAGACAAGACTTGCAACACTTTATGAAATGGCCCATGCCCAATCTCACCACTATGCCACTCCATGAAGAGCCGCCATCGGCGTAATGCAATGCTGTGTTTGGAACACATTCTGCGAAGATCCGAAACGACCTTCCACAACTGAAAGAAGGCAGGGTCTGTGGTCAAGTCCATATTGATGGAGAGCCTCAGGAGAGCACTAGAGCCGGCGGCGTTTATTCGCAGCGCTCTCGTGGCTGCGGCCCGCAGCGAAGCCAGTTGTGAGTCTGCTAGCGGGCAACCTGAAATGCCACGCAGAGCTTTGGCCTACAATTTGCGGGGCAAAGTGGCCAACTTCTGAGAAAGAGGTGCTGGAGATCGGCGGAGCTTAGCAAAAACAGGTCCGAGATCCTTGCAACGCTGGGCGAGTAAGGCATTACGAACGGCCTTGCCGTAGGAAATAATGCCACCTAAATCACGGGCATGCTCAAGAACCGGAAGTCCGAGCGCTTTAAGCTGGGCACGCTGCTGCGGCTTCACCGCCCACACATAGGTCTTGGATGCATCAGCCTGCAAGTCCAGGAGGTCCAGGAAGCAACCAACTGAGGTTACGCTTTGCGCCAAAGCACCAACGGTCAGTGATGTACAGGACAAATTGTCCACGTAGCTATGCGGTGTGGCTCCATTGGCATAAGCTTCAGTATATCGATGGAAAATCAGGCAGGCCACATTCATAGCCACAGTGCTGAGGCCGCAGCCCTCAGGGAAGCCTGAGGAACTGCATACCGCTGGCCCGACATGTCGCCGGACGATAAAATGTCGGGAAAGTCCTGCCAAAAACTTGCTCCATGGAAGCAAGATGGATCTTGGAAAACCCAATTGGGCGGCAATAGCCATGATGGGGTATCGAGGTAAGGCGTTGAAAGCCTTTTCTAGATCCGTGGAGTAACCACAGAAATCAGAGTCCCCCAAACAAGCAAGTTCAATCATGGTTTCCAACTGCCACCAAAAATCGGTGGTTTCCCTGCCAGGCAGAAACCCCAACGCAGTCGGGGGCATGTGGTGCGAAAGATGGCGCAGAAGTTGCCGAGCCCTAAGACTACTCTAGCAGCGGTATATTACGGAAAGAACTACAATAGGTCGGTAGCCTTGTGCACCTTGCTGCATGTTTGGCTTTCTGAGGCTATGCACAAAGCCCAGGAGCCACTGAGCGGGCCATTCCCGCTCACCCGCTTCCAACGCTGTGAGAAAATCCAAGAGCTGGTTGCACAGGCAATCCGGCAAGACTTGTAGATCCTGAGCCGCAAATCCATCAGGGCCCCTGGCAACCCACTGGCGAAAGCGCTTCAAAGCCTGGCGCCACATGGGCAGAGTGAGAGGTGGCAAAGCAATACTCCCGGAGGGCAGGTGTGCTGCGGCGAAGTCCAAAGCCCGCTGCCAGTCCTCCGGGGCACAGGATGCATGTTTCTGCCAACGGGGGCCCCACAAATTATTGAATTCAGAGATCAAATCGGCAACTGAGGAGAGTGTCTGTACTTGCTCAAGCCCAGCAGCCTCCAAATCAGAAGAAGGTGCACCGCGGACAACGCAGCACTGCAACGAAACAGGTTCAACCTCCACAGGCTGTCCGTTCAAAGTCCAAGTAGAACAGCCACGAAAATTGATTGGAGAGTCGACGTGGACTTGTGATGTGACACCATCCACTTCAAGAACAACGTAGTCATGACGCAAGACCAAGACATCGACCTTCTCTGGGCTGGGATCCCTCAACTCTTTGTAGAGCTGGTCTCTGCTGTGCTCATACTGCTCAGCCAAAACGCGCGACCTCTGACGCACATTCCAAGCTTCGAATTTCCGATAGTTCTCACGAAGGTCCAAGAACATTTGACGCGCCTCAACTGGGCCGGGAATGACAAGCGGCAGCACACAGGGCGAGCCCTGCAGCTGAACGGCCCTGCTACCCCACCAGTCACGAAAGTTGGGGCGAAAACCCTTGGCTGCCTTGATCGAGGCCCAGAGCCCAAGCCGGTAGTCCTGCGCGGCAGCGGTCATTTTGCCAGCTTTGAGGGCCTGATCCAATGATTGGAGCCTGCGGAGCTGCTGAAACCATCTTTTGGTTTCGAGGGACAACAAGCTGTGAAAGGAGCTTTCCTCGCCCTTGCGTGCAGGCTTCGGCGGAGTAACAACACACCGTTTTTGAGGCCGCAAGGTCTGTCCTCTTCCATGACAGCGTGCAGGTAACTGGTTGCCCGGAATGCCCGGGCAATGTCCATCTAGGCTTTGCTCAAAATGTGCACTGAACTGCTGAAGCCAGGTGCTGGAACAGGCATCGGATGTTGAAGCTGCAACACAGGTGGCATGCCAACTTGGGATGTCAACATGCGTCCAGGGGATTTCTGATGGCTGAGGCCAGGTGCTAATGGTGTCAACCCCAACCAAAGCTAACCCAGCAATTACTGTGCTGTGTTCGGCAAAGACATCCCTAGTCTCAACCCCTTGACACAAGGCAGCAGCTTCCGGACTTAAGAAGACAAAATCACGCATGGTTGCGTTTTTGCAAGTCGGAAGGGGTTCACGACCCCATCTTTCGAATGCTAACGCCTGCGCGCATTGCCAACCATGCTGCCTCCAGATACAAACCTGCTCTAAGGCCTGGGGATTATGGTTAAAATCCCCGGAGATGACACGAATGCCAGTGCGGCCGAGAACGATCTCGCGGGTCAAGGTCTCCAGCAACAGGTCAGTCTGGTGGCGGGGGTTGCAATGCGTGTACCCATTTGGAAAACCTTAGACGTTGGCTGTCAACACAGGCACATTGCCCACTGCATGAAAGGTTGCCTGAATGCGGCCGGTATGGAAGCTGTCATGCAGCCACTGAAGTTGCAAAGGCCGGCAGGGCACATCACTTGTGGTCAAGACGCCACTCCAAGCGCCAGCGCGGAGAGAGCCAGGTCGAAATGGGGCAGGAGCGCCAACGGTGACCCGAAGGTCACGATTCTGTTGTAGAGCAATCCTTTTCAGATTGCGAGTGCACGGGTGAACCGTGGCTTCAGACAACTGGGTTTCACTATAATGAAAAATGCCCGGGCCAAGGTCAATGGCAAAGGCTTCCTTTGAATGCAGGCCAGTGGGATTGGAGGTCGCAACTTTCAAAAGTTCACTTGCACTTGGACCAGGGTGACTCGCCTCTCCAACCCGAAAGGAGGCAGTCCCGGCAAAACTAGAGCCATGAACAGGCACGGCCTGAGAAAACGACATCAAGATCAGAAATGGAACAAAGAAAGGGCGAAAGAAGGTACCCAGCCCGCCGCGAAGCCCAAAGCGACAGCTGGAGCGCCCTAGTCACTCGGTGCGCGGCTTTTTGTTCAAAAGGCTCTCAATCTGTTGCATCTGTGCAGACAACTGTCTGGAGATGTCCTGCTGAAGATTGGAATTGCTGGTGGCCAAGACCTGAGTGAACTCGGTGCGTAGCTGACCAACATCGGCCTGCTGAGCCTGCACGGCACGTTGGACTCTCCAATCTGGTTGGAGTGTGTGCTGAGCTGATTGCCGATGGTCTGGCACCAATCCTGGAACTTTCGATTCTGCTCGTGAAGTTCTGTCACGCCAACCTCAAGCTTTTGCAATCTCTGCTCCTGCTGAGGATTGACCTGGCTGGATTGTGCAGTATACTCTTCGAGCTGCTTACGGAATGACTCCTGCAACTCACCTCGAACCTGCTGCAACTTGCTGTCTGCTGTGGAAGCAGAGGAGGGGACAGAAGGGCTAGGGAGACCCGGTGGGGGTCTACACAGGGACCAGGGGTCCCGCCCGCCAAGCCATGGGTCAACCTTACCTGCACTGGAGTCGGCTCGAACCTCAGGATCATCATAGAGCAACTTCTTGGTACGCGGCGGTGCAGTGACTCCAGAAGAACGATGCTGAGTCGAGGCATCGCGAAGCTTGGAGATCAAAACATAACTGCCGGCTGCGGCGAGCGCCTGACCAGGCGGTTCGACATCGGAGCCCACCTCCCAGGCGGAACCTGCGGCATCTCCTTTGAGAACCTGAAGCGGACGGGCAGCCCAGTTCCACTGCTTGAGCAGCGCCACAAGATGCTTGCGCTGCATTCCATGCGGAAGTGGGTGAAGGCGAAACTTGGCCGCTATGCGGACCTTCACATATTCGACCTCAGGCTTGAGCAGCTTGTGAACAGCAGGCTCGTCAGATTCACGAACCCGTACTCCAAAGCGCCGATTTAGGCGAGTAATGGCGACGACCTTGTCGGTCGTTTGTGCAATGCGCAGGACTTGAGCACGATCCTTGCCTGGAAGCCAGATCACTGAGAAACCAGCATGGGCATTGTACCCGTCCCCAGAACGGGGTTCGAAGTAGTAGCCAGGCGTGATGGCACGCTGCAGGTGCTTCAATGCGGAACTCGGGATGCGCACTAGGGCTTGGAACAGATCTGCGTTGCTAGCCTCGGTGCGACTGCCATCCACGGTGGAGAAGCGTCTTGCCCAGACATTCATGAAGATATGCTCTACACTTTCATCCACAGCGGGGTGAAAGAACTGGCAATCCCCCTTGCATGCTGAATCACGGCACAGGGTAAGGGCCGGCACGTACTGAAGAAGAGCCTTGATGGGCGCCTGTGCAACTACCTCCCAAGCAACGGTGGCCTCGTCTTTGAACAGGGAAATGCGTCCGGTAACAACATCGACTGTTTCAACTTCGGCTATGTTGGCAGCAGCTAGTTGGACAGTCTCGTCCCCAAGCTGGAGCATGGACCCTTGAAGCAAGATGGGTTCACCAGAAGGCTCATATATAGCCGGAAACCGAATGGACGTTACGGGCGCCCCTGCGCACAGGTCTGAGGGGATTTCTGAGGTGGACACCAAAGCTAATGCATCAACACTGAGACTGTGATATCCGTGGATAAAAGGCAGGAGCTGCTGGGCGGTGCAAAATGAAATACCCTGTGCTTGTGGCACAACCTCATTGAAACCTAGCTGAGCCAGGGGCTCTCCACCCTCAGTGGTGAAGGATCGGGGAGAAAGGAGAAGCGCCTGCGGAGCAACTTGAAGTTGCGGCCTCTCGCCTTTAGCAGCCCTCTGCGCCTTCTTTTTTTTCGGCCTTGAAACAGCAGCCCCGAACTTCTGCGCTGCCTTGTGCTCGGCATGGGCCTTCAACTCTTCTGGTCGGATCCAGCGAAAGGAAGCATTAGGGGAGGATCCAGCTGCTTTCAAAGCTTGCCATGGATTGGCTGCAGCGAGAGCCTGAGCAATAGGACCTGCTCCAATGCGCGAAACTGCTGCTTGGATGCGTTCTGCAACTTGATGTTCAGTAATGCCCTTTCAGCCAGCATTTTGCGCAATGCCTGCTGCTGTCCATCTGAAAGGCCGCCTTGTCCATAGTAGGTGCCCTTGTGTCTGGGCAGGCAGGCAAGAAAACTAATGGCATCTTCAAGGATGGCCTCAGAAGGGCCACCTAGAAGGTAAGCTGCAAAGTGCGCCAAGAGAATGGCCCCACAAGAGTGACTTTCAGTCTGCACCCAGAAAGCGGTGGACTCGAAACCTGCAACCTCGACCTCGAAAAGGCAGGCAAGCTTGGAAAGAAGGTGCCGGGCAACTTGCTGACTGCGACCTGGAATGCCATCCAAATGCTTACCAACAAGACCTTGGGGGCCTTTGGTAACAAGAAGCAAGGACCAATGACCCTGGTCCAACACAGGCAAAGCGCATGATGCCGCATCTCCAGGCCAAATGATCGCAGGGCAGGCTTGTGATTGATCCACAGTGGATCGGAGGAGTGAGATGGTCCACGCTGGCGTGAGCACAAAAACTGGCCTGTCTTGGTTGACCCCTTGCAGTCGCATAAGCCCTGCCCAGACCCAGACCGCAACATCCGAAGTTCCAAGCTCCTGAGATTGCCGGTTGCTTTGTGCATTGGCCTCGGCATGAAGGCTCGGCACAGCCCTGGCCTTTTTGGCCTGAACACAAACCTCATAGGAGCAGTCTGGGCTATTATATTGCAAGAAAGCACCTGGTGGCAAACGGCGGGCAGAGTCACAGACCCGAGCCGTATGACCGGGACCTGCCAAGGCAAGCTCAGCTGCAAGGAGTTCTTTGACTTGAATCGGCTGCGTAACCTGGATCGAGTAGGGGACACCTTCCTTTCGAAGCCAAATCAGCCCGGGCCCATCAAGGGACGGCATCCGCCACAGGTCTTTGCGCGACTGGAGCAGCTTGTCCTTGAAAGATTGGATCAACCGGCATGGGTCAACAAAGCTTGTCCCAGTGAAAACCTGCTCTGCCCAACGCCGTACTTGGGCGTAGACCCAAAGGGCTTGCAGCGGTGCAGCGATTTGACCGACCAAGCAAAGGGCAGCTCTCATATCTTCTAGATGAAGAAACTCAGGAGGGAGGGTGTTAAGGAAACCAACCTCGGCGGGATGTGGGAACCTAAAACCCTGAAGTGCAGAGGAGAAAACCCCTACTCCCCGCAATCCCCGTTGCTCAAGCGTTTGCTGGCTGAAGCCACTGGCCCGACACTTGCAAGGACAAGGGCGCAGGGCTGAACCCCAAAAATGTAATGCGGTTGGTGCCTGCTGGCACTGAGCAAAGGTGCGAGGCTCCTTGCCAAACTTTTCATCCTGGTACATGGCCAGCTCAAGGTCAGTCCATGCTAGCTCGCGCTCCTGTTCAATGGGCCAGACGGGCCACTCTGGGAGAATGTCTCCTACGACCACTTGCGGAGAGGTGACTGACCATGGAAGAAGGCTTAGTGGCGGCAATTGTGCAGGTGTAAATACCCCCCACCATCGCTTACGACGCGATGCCCACTGATCACCCAGTTCTAGAACAACTTCGGAGAAGCGAAGGCCAGTACGCTTGGCGAAGTCGTGCAAGACTTGCATGGTAGCTGGATATTGCTGCACCTCAGAAACACATTCTAGAATGACGCAATCAGCATGTGTTTGTCGGGCAAGCTGCAAGACATGCAATAGGGTATGCCCGCGGCAATCAGCTAGCCCCCCTCCGGTTCCCTGCCGTGAGTAAGGCTGGCAAGGAAAGCCGGCCACAAGTGTGCAACCTGTGCCTGCCTGGTGGCGTGCAATGCGAGCTCTTATCTCCGCGGAACTAATGTCACCCTCTACCACGAACCCTTGGTTCAAACGCAAAGTGCTGCATGCGATCTCTGTTCTCTCAGAGAACAACACGGTGTGCCCACCTGCAAACGCGGCACCGATGGAAATGCCTCCAATACCACTGCAAGCTTCCTTGATGCACTGAAACGAAGCGAGACCTAAGGCTGGCTTAGGTACAGCACAAGATTTTGTGGTCTCCTTGATCGTCAAGACTTGTCCTTGAACTGTAACCACTTCATAGCTGAAAAGACTCCACTGTCCTGATGGTAGCCCTTCGCAACAGACCAAGCCTCCGTGCCAAGTGCTGACAAACAAACCTCCTGTTGATGCCCTGACTACGAGGTCGACGACAGACCCAGTCATCAATTGTTCCCAAGCAGGATCCCCAAGGCTTGCCATTACGGTCACCCAAGCGCTCAATGGAAACAGCTCTACTAACTGGAAAGAGCTTGGGCCCAGAGCTAAACCCTAAACCCTATAACGGGTACCATAATATCCCCAAATGAAATACTACTAAACCCTAAACCCTTAACCCCTAAACCCTAAACCCTATAACGGGTACCATAATATCCCCAAATCAAATACTACTCAAGAGAGCTTCTCAGAAAAGGGCATCCTTGTGGACCCCAAGGACTTAGGGTTTAGGATTCAGGGCTTTAGGGTTTGGGATGTAAGGCTTAGGGTTTTAGGGTTTGGGATGTAAGATTTAGGGTTTTAGGGCTTGGGATGCAAGGTTTAGGATTGAGGGTTTAGGTTTTAGGATTCGGGAATTAGGGTCTAGGGCTTTGGATTAGGGTCTAGGGTTAAGGACATGTCATGGTGAAAACCTACTTATGGCCTCACCAGTGGACACCCGATGTATACAGTCACCACCCTAACTTACTGGGGAATGAGGGAATATGTTCTATAGGTCTTATATGGGGATTATATTCCCCTATTCCCTGTGAAGAACCAGTAAGAAGCCAAGGAGGCCTACTCATACTCGCCAGAATTCTACAATCATATGCTGCCCATAAATGGATGGTTGTCACTTCTAGCTATATCTACTAGTTTGGGATGTAATTCCGAATGAGCTTTGGGTAGTTGGGGTTACCTTACGGGTGATACCTGCCACTTAGGGGGGAGGGTCCCAATGGGATGTATTCGTACGGCACCTACAGCACCATTCTCCTAGTCTAGCAGGAGCCCCAAAGACGCTCTTCAATGGCTGTCGCACAGGGGCTTCCAGGATCACATTTTGATTTGGGGGAAAGGTTCAACCCTAAACCGTATACCCTAAATCCTAAACCCTATACCCTAAATCCTAAATCCTAAGCCCTTAGCCCTAAACCCTGCTAAACCGGAAACCCTAAACCCTAAACCCTAAATCCTAAACCATCAACCCTAAACCCGACACCTTTGTCATGGCGCGAAGACACCAATGGCGCTCTCCCACACCTGGCAGCTTCACAGGCTTTTGCTTGAGTATGTTCTTTAAGGTTTTGTAAAGGTTTTAGGACTCAAAAGAATATGGTTTAGGGTTTTAGGATCCAAATAAAAAGGTTTAGGGTTTAGGGCTTTAAGACCCCCAAAAATAGGGTTTTCCGCCCCAAATACCATTATACCTATTTGAGTCCTTGGACCCTTAGGGGTTCAGGCTGTAGGGTCTGGGGTTTACGCTTTGGGTTTTAGACTCTGTGGCTTAGGGTCAACTATGTTCCCCCAAAAAAATGTGCGTGGCGCTCTAGGCACTATTTATTCAACTTTCGGGGTAGGGGTGGTGTTTTATATTCAGGGGAAAGGATTACGAAAGGATTACTCTGACTGCTGGACAGCTTGATAGGGCAGTAGAGATTTGAGGGTTGAAAGTTCAGGATACGGATGCCTTCGGCCCGCCCGCTGACCTTTCCTACGCATACTTGGAATTTGCCGAAGTCATCTATCACCATCTATCATATCTATACTCAGGCTATTCAGATAATGCCTTAGCGGCTTCGGGCATGAGGCAAGAACAACACTGCTATTGAAGCTATGGGCTTTGAATGACATTCTACTTTGGGGTCGCCTAGACCCTAAACCCTGAACCCTGTATGTTCCGGAGCTTAGGGACTGACACCTACCATATAGGTTTCTCAGTTGGCGGTGGGGGAGGCGGGGGTTGGGCCTAGGGTTTGGAGCTGGTAGTTTGTAGTCTTACATCTGGTTATGCTTGCTGGCTAGTCATGTGTTTTGAGCCCGAAATCTAAAATCCTAAGCCCTGACTGGTTCCCTATGAGCCTGAGCCCCGCGCGTTACAAAGTTGAACCCAAAACCCTAATCCCCAAACCCTCAACCCCAAAATCGTCATTCCCATCGCCCCCTAAAGCTTCAGCCCCTAAAGGCTAAAACCTAAGCCCTTGAACCTCTAAACTCTATCTCTGTCTCTCTCTCTCTCTCCTCTATCCCTATACAACCCTTGTATTCCTTTACATAAATTCTATTCCCCTATACCTATGACAACTATAAAGGGTTCCTAAGCACATGCCTAAGCCCAAAACTGAGTTTCTTGCAGCTTACGGTAGCAACTACTCATCGCTGGCCTCGTAACCTTACAGCACTTACAATCTCCCACTCTGGACGCACGCAGCTCACCCCAGCTATAGGCAAAGATAACAGCCC